TTTTTTTTTTTTTTAGTTAGGTCACTGGTAGCACTGACTATTGTACATCATTTCTAGCAAAGTGCTTCCGAAACAACTTCCTAAACAGCTCACATTTTACTAGCCTGAGTTGGTGGAAAAATGAATAACAAGACAAAATGAAGACAAAAGTACATTTCAATAAGCAGCCTATATTCAGGGTCTTATCAGATGGCAGGGATGGCTTTCTACTCATCTACAGAGAAAATATCACACATAGCGGTAACTAAACAAAACTAGCAGAAATTTAGTAACTGGAAATTTGTACAGTATTATGAATTTTTGTTTTATTGGATGTAGCAAATTTAGCAGTATTATATGCCAGATCAGTATCTTTTAAGTTCAACTTTATTTACAAATACACGTCTATCATTTATTGCTTAAATTTAGACCTTACTTAAAACAAATATAAATAATGTAAAACAAGGGTGCACAGAGATTTCTGCTATATAACAAAGATAGAAGCATAAGGGTAACAGTTTGGTTATGTGTAGTTTGGCTAAATTTAACTGAAGAGTTAAATATACATTTATCTATAAATATAATTGTAAATATACATTATGTAATATTATGTAATTGTAAATATACACTTATCTATACGAGGGTATTTCAAAAAATAAAGTTGAAAGATAATACAAATCTTTCCATGAACTTTTTGAAGTTACCCTCGTACTGCTCATTTCAAAGGGTCTACTGAAATAAATGGATTCACAGTGTTCTATCTATGGCAAGTTACTTAGGAACCTAAAAATCTAGTACAGCATAAGGTTGAAAATTCCCTAATGAGTTTTTGGCTAATAACTTCTCCACACCCATCATTTGTCCCTTTGCATATGGAAAAGAAAGATAATTAAATCTAAATAAAAATTCAAGAAGATAATAGTCTGAACTCTGCAAAGAACACATAGAAGCCATTTGACACGGTCACTTTCTAGGAATGAATTAACTTAATTTGTTTATCTCTCGAGTAATTTTCATGAACCAATTCTTAGTGGTACTGACACAATAATAAGTGCTAATACAGAAAAGATAATTGAGAATAAGCAAAAACTTTTGAAATATATTTCCAAATGAATACATAAAAATTGATAACATATCTTCTACCCCATAGCAAAAATAAAGATATAGTAAAAATGATAGAATTGCTCTGCCTGCTATTAAAGAATATCATACTCAAAGCTAAGTATGAAAAATCATAATTGGCACAAGAATCATTTTGCCAAGCTCCCACATGAGCACCATTACTAAATGATACTTGTAGTTAGTTATCCCACGGATTAAGCAAGCAAACAAAAATCTCCTGCTGTCTCTGTGGAGCTATTATCACACTTACCACATTTTATCTTAATTGCCTGTTTAATTATCTGTCTTCTTCACTAGATGCTAAGTTCTGTAAGTTCATTCTTTTACATCCTATACTTTACATAGCACCTGGCATTTTCTGTGTTGTTCACAATTTTAAATGAGAACACATTTGTGTATTCATTCTATAATTAATAAATTTACCAGAAATCTTAAAAAAATATTTTTTGTGATATTAAACTGTCAGGGGGTGTGACCTCTGTTCCCACAGAGCAGATCTGGCCTTTGCCATGATTTAATAAAAAAGGTGCTCCCATGGGGCCATAGCTTTAAAAAGCATCATTAATCACTGATTAACATCTGAGGGCTCCCAGGCTCAGAGAGGTTAGTCTCACCATTCTTTAACAATGGACTCAAGACTCTGGTCCAAGTCTGTCTGCTGCCCAGAGCTGTGCTCATTCCACATCCCAGACCAACCCTCGAAAAAACAGAAGAGCCTGGCACATTTGTTCCTCTCTTACACAACACATACATTACTTTTTCTTGTGTGTTCCTCGCTTGATCCCCCCCCCCACTGTTAGTCATTGCCCTTTATGAAAGAAAATTCTATGATCTTTTTTATATAGACAATGATATTTATTAAGGACCAATGCTTATTTTAATAATTTAATCTAGAGAGAAGTACATGGTAAACTGTATTGGGAAAAATAAGGCAATCAGATAATTTGAGAAGAGAATGAATGACCCATATAGTCATCTAATCCAAATTCTGTAAAATGCTACAAATACATGGGCTTTTACTATGAACACAGCAAATGCCAAGGTTTCCTTCCAACATGTTAATAGTAATCTGTCAAAAGAGGAAATTTTGTTATTTCTTATTTGATTCACAACAATAATCCCTATATAGTTTTGATTATAAATGCTAGCCAGAAAAAAATACAGACGTGAAAAACCTATCTACATCTTCCAAATAATTTTAATCACAAAAGACTTAACACCCTCAACACTCAGTAAACCCACATGTAGAGTAAAATAAATTTCTCTTTTTAATCCTGTGGAATCGTAGAAGCAGACAGTATACAAAGGTATATCATACAGTACTGCATACAATTTCAAAAATGAATATCAGTAGACATAGGCACTAAATATGAAAAGCATACATATTTTTCATAGCAGACATTTGCAAATGCTTCATTTTATGTATATACTTGACTTGGAGGTTAGAGTAGCTTGTAAGTAGTCGATTTTCTTTATGACATTGTCTTTTGGCACTTCTGCCATATACCACGGGGAAATTTTTTGTTTATTAAAGAAATGAAAAATCTTTGATTTCTAAAATCTAAGAGGAACGTACAAACACCTTAGAGAGATTGTTAATCTTGATCCAAGAAGACCAAAAGAAAGTAAAACCATTTATGCCAGTCAACTTGGGAGACAAAAATAAAGCATAATGAAAAACACAGATGTGTAAAATGGACAGAAATCAGTTTTAAATGTTCTAAATACCAAGTGTCGAATCTTAGGAGTGTTTTTTTGCATTTTTAGTAAATACCAAATGCAAAAAAATCACTCAGCGTAGTACTCACCCTTCACTTAAGTTCCCAGGTAAGCACAAACATACAAAGAAGAAAATAATTAACTATTATATTTCATTTATTTTAAAAATAGGGAATAAGCAAAATAAAAGACAGGTTCAAATGTGATCTCAGCCAATTCAGAAAAGACATATGACAAGCATAAAATGATTTCAGAGGAGAGAGAAAAATTATTCTAAGCAAAAGGTAATTCAGAATGGAAGCTTATTGCGTTTTAATTTCACTTCTCTAGAAATGTAACTAAATGTCCACAGCTAATTTTTCCAAAAATAGCTTTCAGTGGCCACAAGGGGGCGAATTTAGATCTGAAGTTGGGGCTAATGAGACCCACTCTAGCTAGGGAAGGAGGCTTCTCTGGTGCTGCTGCACTGGCAGATTTAACAAAGAACAAGGGAAGAATGTGGCCCTGTGCAGGATATGGGGGACCCTGAGGGGAAAAGAGTGCAAGGGAGATACTAAATCTAGGGGATGTGTCTATTTCCTTAGCTAAAGAGGTACTTCTGCCACAGGACTAGGACATTTCTCAGCTTCTTGCCTCAGTTTATTTAAATCCCAGGCAACTCATTTGGCTTCCCAGATACCTTAATAAAGGGTAGCCTCAGCAATAACTGGAAGTGGGCATCCCTTATTATGATTTGATGTACCCTCATGTCAAAAGTCTGATTATCCACAGCCACACTGAAGCTGGGGGGCAGACCCTGGACTGTGATAACAACCTTGATAGTCCCCTGAGAGGTTCTGACATCCATTATTCCAAATAGCTCTGTCATAATTGCCTTAAAGACTCCTATACTGTTGTTTATCACTGAAAATTTAAAACATGCAATAATTTCTATACTACACTTAGCTAATGAAATAATCAGCAAAAAAGTAACATCAAGACACAAGTCTAGATCCTGGGAGGATGCTCAAAGAGAAGAAAGTCAGAAAGGAGTTGCATTTTGATAGCTCATCATAGGTTAAATCCATGATCAGCCTACAGGCCTTCAATAAGGTGGAGATAATGAAGTATAAAATAGTATGTGACCTTCAGAATCAGAAAATGAATTAAATCACATATGTGGCAAAAAAAAAAAAAAAAAAAAAAAAAGCCAAAATACAGGGCAGCTCATGATTAAGGAAGGCTTCATAAGAAGGTAGCACTGGAGATGGCCCTCCCGGGATGCATAAGATTTACACAAGCAGGTCAAGGAGGGTAGGCATCCAAGACCGGCAGAATTATAGTCTAAACAAGCCACAAAGACTGGAAAGCACCGGGTTTTATGAATGGACAAGTTTTACACCTGCTGGAGAGATGGAAAAAATGGAAGCTGGATATTTTTGCATGCAATGAGGAAAAATAGTCAAAAATATTAGTACTTAAACATAAAGGTATAAAAAATCCAGTAAAATTGTACTTATCATTGCTTGACTGCTACTCTCTATATGAAAAGATCTCTGAGTAAAATGTTAGCAGCATGCCATGCCTAATGATCCAAGTGTTGAGAGACTGATGTCCAGAGTACTATACTTGAAGTCTTTGCTTTTATTCACAATAGGGTTGGTAACATAATAGTGTTCAAGGCTGCTAGTGAAATTGTGCTTGTTTTTACTTATGTCCAATGATAACAGCTTCAATTTTTAAACATGAGCAATTGTTTCTGTGTATTGTGAATTCCTTCTAAGGACAAAAAGATAAATCAGCAGGTTCAGTCATCATAGGTACAATCTGCTAATTCGCTGCATTTGCCGACATGAAGTCGTAAGTTAATACAAAGGGCAAGGGTTCTGAAGGAACCCAGAAGAATTATAGTGAAGCATACTCTAAAGCTGTAGTGGTGTAAGTTGTATCATCTCATTCTTATGAAGAACGATTCTAGTATTTTTCATCTTATTTAGAATATACAACTAATGCATACTTGTTTCCAGGTTTCTTTCCTTCTAATGTATTTAGATGCTGTTCAAGGGTCTCCATAAGACTGCTGGGAGCCTACAATAAGAAAGTAAAAATAAATGTCTGCATTGTTTTCTTTCAAAGTAAACACACTGTAACATCACTGTAACTTTGTAAGGCGGAGGTCTGTGTGTGGATCCCAATACATACTAGTACGTGAGATAATTTCATTCCAGGTTCTTTCAGTATTTAAATATTTAAATTCCATGGACTCTCAGACAGGCCCATCCGAAATACACTTAACTCCACTGCATAAGAAATAGCATTACAGCGTGGTTTCAATGTAGAGATTACATTGGACAGACGTTTACTAAGATATTACTTACATGCAGTAAACTCAGATCAAGTTCACCACCACCTTCCTATGAGACCATAGCGAAAAAGTAACAGGTATTTGTATCCAAGTCAAAAATTTAAGTGCCCAAATACAAATTTACAGAACTTCGAAAATACAGTAAAATTTCACTTATTCATGTTTGAAATATTAGGAAAAATCGTTACTATATCAAAGAAAGGGTGGGGTAAGAGAGTTATGTGAAAAAAATCACAACTTTACTAATCCATAAAAATTAAGACTTTCTTATTACTGAGATAATTTATATATACATTAAAGTAACTTTAGCAAATATAATAATACTATAATAGAGTACTATATATTGGCATATTTGATACAATATATTTTAACTCTTTTATTAAAAGTACTTAAATGTTTCTTTTTATAAATAAAGTATTATGCATTATAAAGTGATGGTATTTTACTGTATATTAGGAGGAGAAATAATAGGTTCATATAAATATCCCACCCATCTCTTTCTTAAACATTAGAGATTTAATTTCATCTTTCTCAAATAATTTTAACCCAAACTAGACCTTAACAACAGCATAGGCATTCAAAGAATAGCATTTTATGAATGAAATGTATAACTATATTTATAGATACTTTTAATTTGAAAACTGTTCTTTAAACTATTATGAAATTAATTTTGAAGGACTTTAAAGTAACTATGCTAACTGCTAAAACAGCTCACAGAATTCAAAGAAATTCATATAACTGTACATTTTACATTATCTTTAATGAAATAAAATTCATATTAATTTTTTTAGTTTTGAAAACTCAGGAAATTTAATACCCATTTTCATTTCACTAATAGAAACTGTCTTAACATTTGAGTGTTTATATATGTAATTATGTGATTACTATCAATGTAAATTACTAGGTGAACTAAAACATGTGAATTTATATATATAAATTCCTAAGTGAGCAAAAATATTAACTTGATCAAACTGATGAAGGTAGAGTAGAAATGGGCAGCACTATCAGCATTATGCAAAAAGCTTTGGGCTATAAAGTAAAAAAAAGAAAGGACTATCAGGGGATATAATAAACCTTGAAAATTATAAAAATTAGAATTAAAAAATATAATTTAGGTGAAAATAAACTTACTCAACAAATTCCAGTAGCTACAACTAGAGGTATACTTATGTTTTAAAATATGAATTTTTAAGTGAGATAAAGGAAATTTTGTTCTATTTACTAGATTATAAGCTATAAGGAAATGCTCATCAAATAAAGAATGTACATTGTAACCTTAAAAAGAAGAAAATATAAATGGCTACAAAATTTTAGCATGAATTCATATCTGATAACTTCAAAATTGTCATACTAATTGTCACCAATAACAATAATGATAATTATGATGATGATGGAACTTAGAGTCTTGGTCATATAAATTCAAACTTTTCATATTTCCATTTTTTTCATTGGAATCATCATAATGAAAAAAAAAATGTATCAAGCCATAGAACCTCTTTCCAGCTGGAAAGACTTATGTTCTCTGAATGTTATAATGCAATGTAAAGGAAATGATTCCTTGCTAAGCCTAAATTTAAAACACCATTCTAAAAAAATAAATGCTATTTATAGCCACAAAATAGGGAACAACAAATATGGGATAACAAAGACGTAATTTTTCTCCTGTAAAGTTTCTTAGTTACCTAAAAGAAAACAAAAAACCCAGGAAGATAGTTTACAATTTAATTTCTTTTGTAAAGTTTCTTAATAATTTAAGTGAGAAAATTTAAAAATAACTAAAAAGAAGTCACAAAAATAACAATATCTGAAAGAAATCTGACCAAGGAGTACAAGACTATAAAACTGAATTTTGTCTTAAGGAGAGTTATTTAGCAATATACTGCACATAGAATTAAGCTTGGAGTATTTAATCCTAGAGGTTTAAAAGTGCCTTATTAGTTATATTTTTATAAGAACATGCAAAATCTAAGAGAAATGAATTCCTCAAATGCTTTGGGGGGAAAAAAGTACTTTGACGGTAATGTCCATGAGTGCAAGAATGTCTGCCTTCTTCTCAGCTGTATCTGACACTGAGGACATCCTGGTATGCAGTAGACACTAAATGGAAATACTCTCCTAAATTTCTAAGGAGCAAAACTTTGAGAATGCCTCTGCTGTTATAAAAGGAACTTAAGAGAACATAGTATAATTAGCTTATTTCAAAGAATGCCAAAGTCAATAGACCAATGTTATAGGAACACCAACCCAAAGAACAAGAGCTAGCCTGTGGTACTTTTGATTGTCTTTTAGAAATTTCACTGACATTCGTGAATAAATGCAATGATGACGATATTACATGCACAATTTTAAAAGGGCTGCAGGTGGCCACATTGGTGGTTATTGTTCATTCTCTAACTTCAAAGATATCCATTGAATTCATAAAGATATCCATTAAATTCCTCTGTTCTATTTTGCTGCAAGAAGAATTCTAATCCTTTTCTAGTTATGAGCACTATTCCCACTCCCAGCCAATAGAGGCCCTTCTGGTCTTTATCTGTTCTTTCACCCTCTCTCGTAACAGGTATTTTTGTTCATTGCCATGGCTAGATTCAGTGGCCGTGGTAGCCACAGAGAACTCTGGCAGAGAGCAGTACCTAATCTCAGAGGAGTTGAACTGAGTCCATACAACCTGGTATTTCTGACCCATCTCTAGATTAATCCTGGTCTAACACTGCCTAAAGGACCAACCTCAGAACACCTTGCATTACTGCTCAGACCTGATCATACTGTCACAGTGGGTCTAAATTCCTAGTTAAGTTAGAGACCTCCATTGGACCTGTGGAAGAGTCTCTATATAAGAATTAAGGAAGGTGTTCAGCTTTATGTCACTCACAATCCCAAAAGAAACCATAATTACATTACTTATTAAGAAATTTCAAAAGCATACCATACTCCTATATTGAGACTTAAATATACACTGGAGAACTGAACTAGAAGAATTTTTGCATGAAGAAGTATTCTTAAAATAATCTTAATATTGAAGTGTATATGGCTCTTAAGGTCATAGCAAGAGTAGAGGATAGAGTGCTACCAGATAATTTCTTTCTTCATTTTTTAAAAAAATTTTTGATGGCTGGTTGGTACAAGGATCAAAACCTGGACCTTGGTGTTATAGGACCATGCTCTAACCAAGTGAGCTAACCAGCCAGCCACAGAGTGCTACTAGATTCTAATGAATTTCTACCATGGAATAGGTTCCTGTTAGATCGAGGACAAGCTTTTGTCTGCTTTGAGGTTGGAGTCTCCATTCCTCAAATTATACAAACACACACCTTACACAACTAACTAATACATTATGTCTCTGGATTTCTTGAGAAAAGGATTATGTAAATTATAATGAATATTATAGTATCATAGAAAGGTAAACTTAAGAATCTTTCTTTCAATGATATACTATCACTTTCTAATTTTAAAAACAAAAAAATTTAAGTAGTCCTTTAAATCTTTCCTTGTCTCGCCATTCAGACTCTGCCCAAACTGAGACAAATGAGGACCTATTTTCTTCTTAATTGAGAACCTCTCCTTAACGAAATACCTAGTTTTTCTTTTATTACACAGTGGAGGCTGTCTATAGAGTTGAAATAAAGATGATATGCTATTTCTAAAAGCTATTCATTGAGCTAAATATTTTAATGTCCACCTTAAAGTTAATATGTACATATTATTTATCTGGGTTATTTTTTTAATACAATATAAATTTTTATTATAACTGAATAGATATGCTATTTCTAAAAGCTATTCATTGAGCTAAATATTTTAATGTCCACCTTAAAGTTAATACGTACATATTATTTATCTGGGTTATTTTTTTAATACAATATAAATTTTTATTATAACTGAAT